GCTGGTTTACGCTTATCTTTAATCTTTATTATTTCAACAAGCGTGTGTTCATGTGTGTTAATGTTTTAGATTCTACTATTTAATAGCGCCAAGAGCCCAGAACCCATAACAAAAGGAGAAATGATGAGGAACAACAGTGAGCATTGTTGCAAACACTACTTAAAAAGTGGGACATGACTAGGTTACATGCAGTTTACCAGTATTGAGTACATATTGTCATAGTTTGATTTTTGCGACTAATGAGTGACATTGTTTTGTTTCCAATGCATCAGCATTTTGGACAAATATGATGTTTCTCCTTAGTGTAAGTTGTGATGTGTTAGCTAGCTCATGTTGGTTTGAAAACTCACATATAAAATGCACATTTATGCAACAGTGTCTGACTTTGGGGTGACTCACTGGAAACATTTGTACATCACATCCTATAGTTTCCGAAACGCTGGGTTATTCTATGTTATTTTACTGTGGTTCCTCAAAACTGTTCTGTGTATTTTGTGTCGTCAGACCGCCTCTCATTTATTTCCTAGAACTACAAAAAGTACAAAATGTACCTAGAAAAACTACCACCACACTGATGACATGATCATTTCAGATTTATGGTCAACACAGACAATTTATAACACAGGCTAGTACAACTTGTAGATCTAAGAATAGCCACGGGCAGTATGTGCTTTTGGGAAAAGCCTGTTTTTCAGCCACAGTGAAACTATGTATGGGGGTGTAGCCTCCACCTGCTGCAAGAGGGCACAGCAGTTCTGCCGTCAGAGCGGCCGGGCATCATCTCAATCTCATAAATCCTTCAGAATATAACATAATGTTTGAGGAAACAAAGAGCCAAGAAGAGCAAGGGAGTACAAAGGCCTGACACACTGAACTAGTAAAACACTGAAACACACACACACACACACACAGGCAGTGGCAGCAACCACAGCACACCAGGAAAAACATATCCAGATGTTCTCCTCATAGGATTACCAACCCCCTCCCACACACACACACACACACACACACACACACACACACACACACACACACACACACACACACACACACACACTTGTGGGCCACACATGGGCTACATATTACAGAGGCTTGCTCTCCAACTTCTCTTTTCTACTCTTTCTTTTTCATGGGCACACACACAGACACACATTTATACAGTTCTACTTGTGAGGACCTTCTCTGACATAACCCTAACTCGAATTTAACCATCACGTCAAAATCACTAATCCCAACCGTTAGCGGGCTGCTTTGGTGGGGGGTGTTGCTTCAGGTATCGGTGAGACGCTTAAATATGATCCAGGAAGTCCAGTTTGAGTGACAGATCCACGAGTTTGAAGACTTATCTGATGCCAAAGTGCTGCACAGTGGTTGACAATACTCTGAGACACTAACCCTAACGCTTTCCTCGCCACCATCGCAAGGTAAACATTGGACATTCAGCTTTTCTCTACAAGTAATGTGCGCTTACATATATTTGATTGACCACGGTCGTGTCATCACATTGGGTCGAAACAGCTACTTTTTTGCCAGACACCCTGTTGTGTTAATGGAGTGGACTCATTCAAATTAATGAGGGGAGCTGAAGACGACCTTATTATCTGAACAAGGGCTGTAACAAAAAATGATTCCTCGATAAATTATTTGGCCTATCACGTCTTCTTAGAGACCACGATGACTGCTTCAAATATCTCGTTTCGCCTGAACAGTCCAAAGGTATTCAGCTCACAATGATATAAACAGAGAAACACAGTAACTACTCGCAGTAGAGAAGTTGGAACAAAAACGTGTTTGATGGTTTCACTTGAAAAATTAGCTGCCAATTGAGTTTCTGTTGACTAACTAATTGATTTACTAATGACAGTGGTGAAAGTACTGAGATCTTGTACTTAAGTAAAAGTAGCAACACTACAGGGTCCCACATTCAAAACTTTACTTAATTTACAAAATTTACATAACAGCCCATAATATATTATAATTATTCAATTATAATTATTGATGCATTAATGTAAGTAATGTAGTAAGCATCCACACACCCAGCAACTACTAGCACAGTGTACGGATCCTTTTTCTGACTTTTGCCTTTAGATTTGCCCTTTTGATCCAGCACCTGTGAAAGTCCCTTTGGATTTGTGTGCTTTACACCCTGTTTGTCTTCAGTTTTAAACAGAACCAAATACAGTTCTAACTCTAACCCTTAAACCGAGTCTTAATCCTTATTTAACAAAAATGGCTCTCCTATGGACTAAAAATCTGGTCCTCTCAAAGATAGACATACGAGAGTGAACACACACACACACACACACACACACACACACACACACACACACACACACACACACACACACACACACACACACACACACACACAGTGTCGAGCTTAGCAGTTATTGAACCCACTCTTTCAGCCCCTCCTCTTCTCCACTAGAGCTCCTGGCAGGCCGTCTGGTTGAGGCCCATAGTAAAGGGAACCGTTTTCTCTGGCATGAGTGTCTAAGTGTGTGTGTGTGTGTGTGTGTGTGTGTGTGTGTGTGTGTGTGTGTGTGTGTGTGAGAGAGAGAGAGAGAGAGAGAGAGAGAGAGAGAGAGTGTGTGTGCGTGTGCGCGCGTGTCCACGGGCCCCAGACAGGAAGGAAGAGCGTGGGCCCGGCAGCACAGCTCCAGAATTCCGGTTTTGTTTTTCTTCTTTTTCCATCAGTGCGAAGCCTGAGCCGGGTCTTAAAGAAACAGTCATTAATATTTTTCCCCTCTTAATGATGCCACACTGTTCACTGAGAGTAGCTGAGACCTCCACAATAGGACTCAGTATGACTCATTACTTTAGTATGTAAACATATTACCACTTTGTTAAATAAAAAACTCCAATGAATGAGGCTCTTTTATGGCTCAAATGTTTCTGTTCCTCAAGAACTTACACCATGCGTCTGTGGCCTCGGGCTCATTTTCATTGAAGCTTCTAAAAATAAAAGTACCAATCCAGCATCAGTGGTCAGGTTACGTAAATTACTCGAGGGGTGAAACATAAGGATTTCGGACACAAGCAGGGCAGGCGTATTTAGCTGCCACCCACATGCTTTCATAATAAATCATCACTGAATATCTGGCAAAGAAAGGGTTCAAAATTACCCGATGGATGACACAACTCACATCTCATGATCTTAACAGTTCTGCTGAGAACAATTAAAGACAGGAAAGTCATGAATTTGTGGGTAACCGCTCAGGCTCTATGGACCTATCAAAGCAGAAAATAATCTCTTTAAGGTAAGCAGTGACCTCATCGTTTTGGCAACGATTATGAAAACAAACTTTCCTTCGCTTGATACACAAACAGAGCTCAGCATTAGGAAAGAGGAACCGGAATCGTTTTATCAACTCATTTTAAGTTAGAGATAAGATTGAAAAACATTTATTAAGAAGGTACACAATAACTTACTTTCAGCGTATAAAAGTTTCAGACACAGGATACAAAGGGACGGAACAAGACGCTTATCTTTCAAACTGCAGTAATTACAACCAGGCCTTCTGCACTCACTGTAAAAGAAATCCAACTTGGAACCAATGCAGAAAGCACCGTCATTCTAATTTAAAATATAATGATGGGATTATTTTTACTAATTTCAATGTCAACAAATCCCATGCGAAGACCAAAACCAACCATGCGTTAGACCATCTCTTAGTACCTTCTAACTTTCACACTCGACCCTCAGTCCATTCATTCCTACTGAAGACAAAAACCTTTAAAAACAGATCACAGGTGTATGATTTCCTACACAGTCTTCTGCATTAATACTCAAACCCTAAAAAAGTTGGGTGTTGGGGTTAAATTTTTTTTTGGCAAAAGTTACATAAAAGTAAAGTAAATAGTTTATTTATTGGGGACTATTTTCAGGCCTGGATTAATATTCATTCTATGCAGTGAGTATTTAGTCAGGATGCACTGATCCAGGTTTTTCTTTCCTGATACTGATTCATCAACTCAGATCCAAGCAGTGGTCTCTTTTTCCCAAATTTAAAATCCCTATTTTACACTATAATGTGTAAAATCCATATTTTCATGTAATGTAACATGGGTCCAGCGACTGCTGTTGCACTAAAAAGCTAGTCGGTGGCCCGTCGTGACTGAATGAAAACTGTTAACTCTAACCAGGATATTCAAACTGACACTGACAAAGAAATGGAATTTAATGTGGAACGATTACGTCACGGCTGATCTGTCAGTATCACCAATCTGCACACCAATCTGGCATATCGAATCTGTGTGTCTCTAGTATTTACTGGAACAGGACAATGTACGTGGTAATGACTCAAAATAACCTACAGTACCCCTGTAATGAAGGAACATGTCACCAAGCGCAATGTGTTTTTAAAAGGTTTTGGACAACAATGGAGGTCTAAGGGAGAGAGGAAAGATAAATCAGGCTTTCGCTCCATAGCACTTGTTAGGATATATTAATTGTTGGCTTTAGTCTTTTAATGTGATTTGCCGACAGTAAGAAAAACATAGAAAAGCACCAGATCAATCCTTCAAAAACTAAAAACTTACCAATTTGAACATAGTTTCTTCATGTAAGACAAACTGAAGGCACTGCACTGGCTCTGCTGTAACTGTTTAGTTAATGTCACGGTAAAACTTCATGGTAAAATTTCAGTAATTTCACTTATGATGGAAGAAGAACAAAAAAATCTGTAGGCAACAGATTGAACTGAAGGTCAAACCAGGCTGATAATAAAAAAAAGTCATTCAATGAGTGCCTGTCTTTAAAATTAATGTATTGGCCTGACTGCAACTAAAACGATGACTGCGCCCTATAGACACTTTGGTTGTGTATACTGTGCACAGTATATGTTCTTTTTAAATGAAAAAGCATCTTACTGATGTCATTCTGCACACAAATAGAAAAAGTAACACGTGCAGTGTATAGGCAAGTACGAAAGTCTCTTGCATGTGTCTAGACTTTTGTACAGGCAGCCATTGTGTACACACACACACACACACACACACACACACACACACACACACACACACGGTGACTAGTAGCAGCAGGTCCTTCGTCAGCAGAAAAGAGACTGCGCGCTCAGCACTGTTGTAGAGGAATAACTTCTCTAATATTCACCTCCTTCACTTCTGATTTTTCTTTGTAAGATAACCAGACACAGTCCATCAGCAGTGAGGCTCACGGTGCATTTAAAGTCCAGTCAGGAAAACGGTTTGGGTCAAGTCCTTGCTTTATGTGTGAATGCACGTGCTCTGTATGTAAGATCTCACATTTTATTGTGATCTACCGACAATGATGTGAGTTTCTGTTTCTGGTGTTGATGTGACCCCACTTCCCTTGCACCACAGCTCAACCTTTCTCTGATGCCGCCATCTTTAGGCCTCCTCTCGCCTCTGGAGATGTAGACCGATCTCCATCTGATTCTCCAAACACTCCTTGAGCTTGTCCTCTGTCAGCGTCAGCCGCTGCTCCAAGATCGAAACCGTCTGGATGAGAGGAGGAGAGGGGAGGGGACGATCGAGGAGAGGAACAAGACAGAGAAAGAAAGGGGGAAGGAAGGAGATGGATAAGAGAGACAGAGCATGTTAGAGAGGGCTGTACAGCATCAGCCTGACAGTAATGACTATATAATGGCTGTGTTTGTGTGTGTGAAAGAGGCAGCTTGTGTGTGTTTGAGACAGATGTTGTGCGTGCAAGACAATCCAGCTGATTATCGCGGAGAGATCTGCTGCCTGAGCCGAAAACAGCAGAGTCTCTGTGTCTGGCACGCACTCTCTCTTGTTCTCTCACTCACACGTTTGCATAAACACACTTACGCACACAAAGAATACAAGAAAGTCGCTTTCCGAAACAGGACGGGCATGTGTGGGTAGTGAGATCACAGTGCAACATACTTTTTCCTCTCAGCATCCTCCAACAGTGACAGTGTTTGTTGTGTATTTGTGCTTGTAGATTTGAGCATTGTGTCATGTGCCTGTTTATCAGAGGAGCCTCCAGGTGTAATTTTCAGTGGTGTGAATTAACAGATTACTGAGGATAGAGCTGACTTGTGTAGTAGCTTTTATTCTGTGGGCACTTCATCAGCCACATCAAGAGAATAACAAAATGAGCCTTTAATCATTGGAAAGCAAATAGAGGATTCCTGTCCAGATAAACGTATTCATGCCTTTAGCAACCAGGAGGATTGAGCACAATACTACAATCTTTAAATCTCAACACTAGCTTCCAGTAATAGTTATTTAAAATGATTTTTTAATTGCTGCTGCAAGTTTACAAATCACTTAATGGCCTTGGGTGAAAACACATTTCTGATATGCTTGAAGAACATAAAACTTGTCAGTTCCTAGGATGTTTAAGAAGAAGTCAGGCAGTAGTACCTTGAATCAAAACTAGGGTTGAATACCAGGAATTTAGACCTTGGTGTTTCCGGAGAAATCTTATCAAAATCCGATATCATTTCCAGGAAGAAAAAAACCTGTGGGATCCTGGGATTTCCAGCGTGTGGGTGTGCACCTTTGCATTCATATAATTAAGAATATCATACACAATGAAAATGAAAAACTTCTCTAAACTTCATTAACACTTCCATGCAAGATCTTTTGATACAGTCCAATCTTGAATAGCTATTAAAATAGCTACATTATTTTTTTATATCATGCTTATAAATACTAAATAGGGGTACTTCAAGCAAAGTTATACCAAACTAAACAGACAAGTGTTAAATTAGTGGCTAAATAAAATACACATAGCTGCAGGGTTGATTGCAGGGCAGCATTCAACAGGTGGAAAATCGAGCGCAAAAGATCACCCAAAACCTTACATCTAAAAAACCAAGATCAATCTTCCTGTTTCCCACTCTAATATAACAACTTGGACATAGAACTGATCAGGAGATTAAACTATTCTCTATAATTAGTACTGTGTTTTTTTTCCCACTCTAAATATGTGCTTTTAAAAGTAATTGTTACTCTACCATTACCACAGAATCTAAAAACAAATATGACAGAAAAATACCTGAAAATTTTATTAAATGTCATTTTATAATGAAGTATCAACAGTTCTGAGAAATTCGAGGAATCTTGGTATGAGAGTGATACATTCCCGTAATAATTTCGTAATCATGGAAATTGTTAAACTGCATTTACCATAGAACCAACTTCCTATTGATAAATGCACCCCAACATAGACCACTTTCAAATCTAATTAACAGTTTTTGTGTCTTTGATTGATCTATTTCTTCTATTCCCCCTTAATTTCATTAATTAAATTAATATATCTGCACTGAAAATTAATTTGCGTATTATTTTTTGTCTGGTTGCATTTTAATTTATGTCATTTTACACTACTTCAATTGATTTTACTTTAAAATCTTTATGTAAAGCACTTTAAATATCCTCTGTGTTTGAAACATGCTTTACTGATAAACTTAGTGTAGCTTGTAATTATATTTATGTAGCTAACATGAGACACAAGGACATGGGTCTAAAGTGATGATTCGTTGATATCTCTTTGGCTTTCTGCTCGTCTGTAGGAGAAAAAACAGTGAAACAAACATATAAAGCTTATTTCCTACTTGTAATCTACTTTTTAGGTGGTAATACAGAAATGTGAAAATGTGGCACAAACAAAAGCCATTTAAGGCGAATGCAAAAAGCTAAATGTCTTTGTGATGATGACAAACTGAGTTCTGAGAAAAAGTATTAGAAAACTCACTTTGCAAAAAGATGACAGTAATTTGAATGAGTCTTCTTCTCGAAAGTGGCAACAGTTCCCTCTGCATCTCTGACATAACTGTTTACTGAGCTAATGTTGCCTGGTGACAAACACAGCCCCAGCTAGTGAGCAGTTTCGGATAGTCGTGCCTGGCAACAAAAATGTAGTTTAAGGCAGGAACAATCCAACAGTAAACATGTCAACCCCTGACAGAAGAGACTCTCTCGATTTGGGTCAGTGAGAGGAAGATATGTCAACATGTCTCGAACTGTAATTTTATGTCTCTCTTTGTGCCAGCGAGTGTAATTTTGAAATTGCTAGAAAGCAGCGCAGAGATGAGTCACTCCCCGAGCATTTATCATAATATAACCAGCTGTGTATGAGACATTACCTCTGATGGAGGGATGGACAGACATGAAAAAACAAACTAGTTTAGTTTTCCTCAGAGGAGGTTGTCTCTCACAAGGTTCCAGGTATAAATTTTTTCATTGAAAAATAATCCGACAATGGGTTGATTCATTCAAACTATATAGTGGGTAACTCAAACCTATTATATGATATGCACCTCATAGAATATGATCTTGATGGTACACTTTCTCGCTATCTCTTGTTTCATTTCTGTTCCAGGAATGTCTCTATCATAATCATTTAATGGTCACTTGATACAATCAGGGCAGTGTCTATAATGATATGATCGACTGAAAAAAATCTTAGTTGACAAACAGTCATTGTTCTTTTTCTTAAGACTACTTGATTAACTGAATAAATGAAAAAAAAAACGACATTTTTCTCAAGTATTATCCTAAACAATGTTGTGCAGAATCTCTTAAGATCTATTGTTTGATAAGCTGAAGACAACAGTGCATGTTTATGTCATCTCCATACATATGGATGAATAAATAACTCAGTACTATGTGATGGCAGTTTGGTCATTTAAAAAGATAAAGTGAAATACAGAGGTGGAGTGACAGCATAAACACAAAAGAGGACAAAAGCTAGAAAACCAGAGACAGAGGTCGGACAGCGGACATACAAACACTCAATACTCAGATCAAATAACTACTCCTCTTACATTGTCATTGGTTATTTTAACCAAATTAACATCATAAACATAGCCAGATTGTAATTTGGTTGGTGTACCAAATTCTTCAACACCAAAAACACCAAACCAATTGATCGATCTTTCTTCTTTCTTAATTGTGTGACGATTGAAATGTGTGTTATGCAGGCCCCACACGTCCATTTGTACATTTCATAGATAGCTAAAGTCACGACATCACGTCCAGGCTAGCCTCTGTTCTGTTCTGTCTTTTACTGAGCATTTCTTTCATTAGTCTATCTTAAAAACACCTTGAAAGTTGAAACCTTTGTGATTTTAACAGAGTTAAACAGCTACAGCTCCAAAGGAAATTTACAAGAGCAGTAGCGTGGGCACTCAATGTCCTAATAACTTGGTTTCGTCCGTATCTGTAAAACTCATCAGCTCTCTCTTCTAAAGTCATTTTTTATCAGTTTCCTACTTGTTATCTCTGCAGTCTCACAGTGTTCAGTCCTCTTTGTCCTGCTGTTATTACAAACATGTCTGAACAACCCACGACCCGCTCATGAACTCACCACATCTGTCAAGCTGTGATGTTTAGCCCGCGAACGTAAAGGGCTTATGGGAAATGGTGTTTGTTGGAGGCAGGTAAAAAATACAAATCTTGAATAAACAACAATATTAGTTTTTAAAAAAACTAACGTCCTTATCAAAACATATGAAGTGAGCCACACCACATACTATTGAGAGTGGCTGTGTTCGAAGGCTGGATTTTTAATTAGCCTAGTTATAAATGTCAATAGGATTTTGAATGAGATATTGTTGCTTCTGTTACTGAACCCAGACGTTCTGCTTTCACATCAGCTCTCTATAGATTATCAAGCAATATCTTTTAAATCTCATCAATCACCCCATTCTGTAGTGCACATGTACATATAGTCATTTTCAAACCCAACACACAAACACATACACATGGCCAGGCATGAATAATCCAACACAAAATCATGAAGGAATTGACAAAGATTGTTGATTCTCTCGTATAAACCCAAAGTCCAATATACACATCACACGCCAGTGAGTTCAACAATGTGTGGGCGAGGGGTGTTTTCTTTTGGGTCATCAAGCTAGATAACATCTCCTGCTATTTCATGCATCATGGGAGAGATAGGGCTTATATTTCCTCTTTCTCTCCTTCTCCCCGCCTGTCTCCATTTTCTAGATCAATACTACCCTGTTTATCTTACCAACCTGATATGGCTACCCAGTCCTCAGCGCAGCCAGCTACTGGTGTTGGTGTGTGTGCGATTCTGCACGTGTCCCCAGGCAGCGGCAACATTATACGGGCCTATAGTTTTCATCTGGAGTAGAAACCAAATCTTTATGCTCCTAAAAATAGAGCGAGCTGTTTTTCTTTTCTCTCCAGAACACATTATACTCTCCATCGCCCTGAGCATTACTGGCCTCTGTTACAAAGTCTCATAGCTTTGGTATGATCCACACTACAATAGTCAAAGGACGACAAACTGGTGCTGGTGATGGGTGGCAATGGCAGATCTTTTTTCTACATCTAACTAACTGATGTGAGTTATTGAGTATGCCATTATTAAACTGATAATCATTGTGGAATTAGGGAAAACTAATGAAAACACAAAAGCACACAAAAAAGCTGACTGACTGATGGTGTGAAAAAAGGCAGTGAAATGAAACTAACAATCTGCAGGTTTGGAAAACCAG